AGGGGCTCAGGCACCAGTCTGGGAAGCCTCCTGCTGCAGCTGCCACTTCCACCTCCTTATATATTCGAAAAATAACAGCGGCCGCGCCGCCGGACGCCACCAATGGGGGCGCGGGTTAGAGGAGGGCGGGATCGAGGGCGGGGCCCACGGGGCCCGAAGCGCGGAGGCTAGATTTCCAGGCTTTGGGTGGGGCGGCGGAATTAGGGTCCGTTCCGTACCTCCGCATATCCCCCCATCTCCCCGGGTGCGGGGATCCTGGCCTCCGGAAATCTGCTTTTCGCGACCCAGTCTGGAGCGACAACCCCCCCAAGGAAGCGCCCGTCCCCTCGAGTGGTCTCAGAAGGACACCCCGCCCCGGCACCCTCCCCCCCCCGCGGTTTAACATCACGTACGATCACCTGCAGGGACCGTGAAACGCTCCACCCGGCTCCCGGAAGTTTGCTAAACGCAGCTGCGCGGTGCGGTCTGCGGTAGAGATCCCATTTTACAGACCGGGACGTTGAGGCGTGAAGTTCATTAGCACGTTCAAGGTCACGCGGTTGGGCAAAGGGTGGGGCCGGGTTTCCTTCGCTCCCGGGCGCCTCTGCCCTGCAGCCTCCCTTGTCCCCGCGAGTTGGACGCGCGTGGGGATGGTGGGCGATGGAGGCCCACTCGAAACTGACAGGCGCTTTCGGAGGCCCCCAGGTTAGGTGTTGCCCCAAAGGGCCCGATTTTCTCCAGCCGCCTCTGAGGCGCTAATGTGGGACTTTCTGCGACTGGGGGTTGGGAGGGCGGTGTTCCAGGAAGATGTCAGTGACCGGGGAACCCAGGTATTGCAAGTATCAGGCCCATTTATGGCTTGACTAATTGGGTGCAGTGCCACCACATTGCTTAATTGGTGTTTCTTTGATGACCAGGAAGGCTGGATTTGTCATCAGTTTAAACTGAGCATCTTCTGATTATCTAATCACCTTACAGCCGTGTCCATTTTCCTGGAAGGAGGCTGGAAGGCTGAACCCAATAGCCAGTGGACGGGAAGTAGCTTTTCATTCGTCTCCCCAGGGAGGAGGGGGTACAGCTCAGGAAGGCAGGATCTGGATGGGGCCTTACACCCATTCCCATTCAGTCCCAGCCATCCTGGCCCAAGATGCACTGGATAGCGGTGGCAAAATGGGAGGGAACCTGGTGACAGGGTGCTGGGTAGGCCAGATGTGAGGGAGAAGAGGGTTCCTAGAGATTTGTGCAGACCAAGAGCAGGTCACTCGGAGATTGTGAGCATCACAACCCTGGTCTTTCCGCTCAAGTCCTGGCTCCTTAAAGCAGAAACAAGGGCAGCCCTCTGCTCCACCCAGGACGCCTTCCAACTCTACTTCTTGAATTGGACTCTCATGCCCAGTTTCCCAGGAGGCCTAGGACATTAGTTCAGGCCTCTAACCCATGCCCAGCCTCCATACGGTGTCCTACCTGCTGAGCCCGGTGAGGGGGTGACTACGGTAGGAACTGTGATGAAGGTGGGAATTTCAGCCCCACCTGAGAGGTGATAAAGGTGGGAATTGTGACCCTTCCTCCTTTCAACATTTTGCCCAGCTCCTGTGCTGTGCCAGGCACTATCTTGTGAGCTGGGCAGGGATAAGTTCCCGACCTCCAGTGGGGTATGTGACTTCCCTTAGTGCCGGGACTGAGAGGGAGGATATGCACCTGACCCCAAAGACTAGAAACAAAACTGCCCTGAAGGGTGCATTTTCTAAATCAGCAGGTATCTTCCCACCCCAGCACACATGTCTCTACGGTGTGTGTGTGTTTGTGGGGGGACACATAGGGAGGTTACATATCTCTTGAAATTCCACAGTCGGAAGGTCACTTCTGGGCCAATGAGGGGGGTGGGCAGGACCACAGATGGTTTTTCCACAGCATCCCACAGACTGAGTCTGTGTCTTCCTGAATCTCCTTTTGCCAATTAGATCATAGATTATGTGCTCAATTAAAACAAACACAAAACTAGGTGGGGTGTGCAGTGGCTCATGCCTATAATTCCAACACTTTGGGAGATTGAGGCCGGAGGATGGCCTGAGCTCAGGAGTTTGAGACCGGCCTGACTCGATAAAAAGAAAAAAAAAAAATTAAAACTTAAAAATAAAAATACAACAAAAAATAGTCAATAAAAATAAGTAAAGATAAGTCTAAAGATGATGGCCTTGGCAGGGAGAGGGTCAGTGGCTCTGTGAGCAAGTGTTAGCATGTTGCCTTTGTTAGAAAAATTCCAAAAAGGACTCAATCACAAGCATCCAGCCACCATTGCCAGGCCATTGCAGCCATTACCTTGCTAAGCTATGGGTGGCCAAGTACTCTTTGAGCTGTGGCCGGGCCATGTTTCCTGGCTTTGGCCCTCTCCTCTACCTTGGGGAGGTGAATCTCCTCTTTCTCTCTCTAATTTACTTTTTTCTTTTTTTGAGTTGGAGTCTCACTCTGTTGCCCAGGAAGGCTGTAGTGCAGTGGCACACTCACGGCCACCCCAGCGACCTGCTGGGCTCCGATGATCCTTCCGCCTCAGCCTTCCAAGTAGCTGGAACTACAGGCACATGCTACCATGCCTGGCTAATATTTATTTATTTATTTATTTATTTAAGAAAAAAGTTCTCACCAAGTTGCCCAGGTTGGTCTCATGCCCGCGGGGCTCAGGCAATCCACTCGCCTCAGCCTTCCAAAGTGCTGGGATTACAGGCTGAGCCACTGAGCCCGTCCTCTAATTTATTTTTTAAGTAAACTTTATTTTCTAATCTAAAAAGAAAAATTCCTTGGACCATGGCATTGAGTGAGCTGAGAGAACACTTTACACAGTTTGGCAATATACGAAACTGCATCGTACCCTTTGACAGGGTGAATTTCACAGAAGTATGGGCTGGATTCAGTTTTCTTCAGAAGAACTTCAGAAGGCACTACAGCAGGAAAATCATAGTATTGATGGAGTAAAGCTCCATATTCAAGCTCAAAGACCAAAAGTTTTACGAGCATCTGATAAAAATTCCTGCCTATTAAAGTTAATATAACTGAGAAACAATAAGTAAAGATAAATATCTGTAACCATCATAGTAAGAGGACCAACTCCTCCCATCAGCCAGGCTCTGGTTCAGACATTCATGGGATGCACAAGGCTGACATCTTCCCATGGAAATACATGTCTTGGCATGGAGGCTGTACACGTGGAGCATGTAAACTAATTTAAGGAGGTCTGATGTGACCCTGGGGCCTTGGCAGAAGAGAAGGAAACACTACTCTTGTTTCCAAAATCCCTTCTGCTTCTCCAAGCTGGTTCCTACACAGCGTCTCCTTTGTGGGACTTTTTCTCCTGGTTCCTTTTCTGTCATGACTTGTGACAGTTAAATGTTTTTTACAATTATTATTTTTTATTGTAGAGATGAGGTCTCGCCAAGTTGCCCTGGCTGGTCTCAAACCTGTGGGCTCAGGCAATCCTCTCATCTTGGCATCTCAAAGTGCTGGGATTACAGGAATGAGCCACCACACCTGGTCCAGTAACATTTTTTTAAAAAACTGTTATATGGTATCAAAAATTCAGAAAAAGGTGAAAATTCAAATGGTACAAAAAGGCAGTGAAAAGTCAGTCCTCTGCTCCACACAAACTGTCAGGATCCCTTCCCAGAGGCAGCCACTGCTATGTATTTGTTGCATATTCTTTTGGAGATAATCTATAACTAGCCATAGAAACATAAGGCAGGGTCGGGTAAGAGGGTTCACATCTGTAATCCCAGCACTTTGGGAGGCAAACAGGTTGCTTGAGTCCAGGAGTTTGAGACCAGCCCAGGCAACATAGCCAGACCTCGCCCCTACAAAAAGTTTTTTAAAAATATTAACAGCCAGGCACGGTGGCTCATGGCTATAATTCCAGCACTTTGGGAGGCCGAGGTGAGAGGATTGCCTGAGCCCATGGGTTCGAGACCAGCCTGGGCAACTTGGCGAGACCTAATCTCTACAATAAAAAAAAAAAAAATTAGCCGGGCATGGTAGTACATGCCTATAGTTCCAGCTACTTGGAAAGCTGAGGTGGAAGGATCGCCTGAGCCCAGCAGGTCGAGGCTGTGGTGGCTAGGAATGTGCCATCATCCTCCAGCCTGGGTGAGAGAGTGAGACTCCAACTCAAAAAAAAAAAAAAGAAAGAAAACATTAGCTAGGCATGGTGGTGTGTGCCTGTATTTCCAGCTACTTAGGATGCTGAGGTGGAAGGATCACCTGTGCCCCAGTGGTTGAGGCTGCTGCAAACCATGATTGTTTTGATTGTGTCACTGCAATTCAATCTGAGCAACAGAGACTAACTCGAAAAAAAAAAGAAAAGAAACATAATGGGACAGACATGAGCCACATACATCATTTAAGATTTTCTAGTAGCCACATTAAAAAAGTAAAAAGAAACAGATGAAATTACTTTCAATATTTTATTTAATATAGTATATTCAAAATGTTATGAATACAAAAATTATTGAGATACTTTACAAACTTTTCTTATACCAAGTCTTGAAAATTCAACATGCATTTTACACTCCCTAGCACATTGGCATTTGTCACATTTAAAGGTCTACTGCTACCATAATGGACAGCACAGGCCCGTAGGTTTACAAGAAATGTATGCCTGTATTTTAGAAAATGTAAGGAGTCATGAAACAGAGTATTTAAAAAGCAGGGAAAGTTGTTTTCCATCTTTCTTCATTTTACTTGGAGATAGACCCATTTTACTACCATAACAGTATTTATTTATTTACTTATTAACAGTATTTACTGAAGTTGCTAACGTTGAATATTTAGATGATAGCCTTTACAATGATACAGCAAGTTATCCGGTGTGATGGCTCACGCCTGTAATCCCAGCACCTTGGGAGGCGGAGGTAAGAGCCTGTCTGAGCCTAGGAGTTTGAGACCAGCCTAGGCAACTTGGTGAGACCTCATTTCTATAATAAATCAAAAAATAGCCGGGCTTGGTGGCTCAGCCTG